CCCATATCGTCGCCTACTTCAAATCCGGTCTAAAAACCGTGTATATCGTCGCGGGTCGGGAAGAATCGATGCCCAGACTGCCATAGGATGTCCTCAAAATGTTTCTTTGGAATTATTCGCTTTGTTCATGCAAATAAACAACGGGCACTTACCGGGGAAGATTGAAGACGAGGTGTTCTGGTGTTAGGGGGCAGATTTCGCAATATTAACATAATCTATGCAGGATTTCTATTAATTAATTTTATCACTAACGGGCCCGTTATTGATTAATAAACGCGCTGGACATTGCAAGCATAAAAACTGAAACAAATTTGAGACTGAAGTAAACAAAAACGACAGCGAACAGTGTCACTGCGATGTGACCCTTGACCTATAATAGGGGACTGTCCATTCTTCAACAAGGCAGGGGTGACACGTATTCTTCCGTGCAGCGAGCTTTCGTTGCGCGCAGCGAGGTCGCCGAGGAATCTCTTTCTGTGCAGACGTGAGGAAGCTCTTGGCAGGCACGACGCAGGTATTCGTGCGCAGACGAGGAAGCTCTTTCTGTGCAGGCGTGAGGAAGCTCTTGGCAGACACGACGCAGGTATTCGTGCGCAGACGAGGAAGCTCTTTGCAGAGATGACGCAGGTATACGCGCAGTCGACGCAGGTGTGCGCGCAGGCGACGCAGGTGTGCGCGCAGACGACGCAGGTTTGTCCTTGTCGGCCACGGTAGCTCTGTTCTGTAGAATTTGTAGCTGTCTCTGTTTGAGGGCTCCACACCCCTCCCACACCGTGTCGCAATAATCGAAGATGGGTAATATCATGGTTTTGTACAACATATCAGCAATGTTAAGGGTTAGGCAAGGTCTAAAGCGTTTCATTAGCCCAATTCTATGTGCTACCTTGCCACAAACCTTGTCTACATGTTCATTAAATGATGGATTACAATGATAGATTATAATTAAGATAAACACCAAGATATTTTAATGTTTGTATGGCATCTCCTGGTCAATGCAAAGTTTCAGAGAAGGTGCAAGTTTTAATCTATTTGCACTTCACAACGTGATCTCGCGAGAGTTACGGTTTGCAAACACGTGACCTTATTCACACGAGACTTTACTGATACGTGACGTATGCAATTGATCAAAAGTGCCAGTTTATATCGTCCACCATCTCTATTCAGCTCGCTGTCATCTGAAGTTTCTCAACACATCCACATCGAATCACCGGGGCCATACCGTCTTTCTGGACAAAGAATACTGGACACTGAATAGGACTACTTTTTAAGAGGCATTAAGGAAACCATATATATATATCAGAGCATTTCAGCCTTCACTGAATAGAGATGGTGGACGATATAAACTTCCTGGCACTTTTGATCAATTGCTTACGTCACGTATCAGTAAAGTCTCGTGTGAATAAGGTCACGTGTTTGTAAACCGTAACTCTCGCGAGATCACGTTGTGAAGTGATTGGTCATTAATTATCCTGATGAAGGCGACAGTGGTCGTCGAAAATTTGATCGCTCTGTAACCCTTGAGTTCAATGTTTTACTATGATTACTACCAACACAGATGAACTTTCATGATAAATTCTCATATCATAAGGATAAACATGATTTCCAGCAGTATATTTTTTTTCGTGGAGATGAGGCTGATTGCCAAGAAGCTTTGACCCGTTGTAAAGGAAATTATTTAGCCCAGGTTATGTGACGTACGCTTCGGGCAATTTCAACTAGAGAAAGGTGAATGAAGTTCTGACCGTAAGACTATAGTCTTTGGCAGTATGCCGAAAGCACCTTACTGCTGTACACGGTTATGGTGTTTTGAATTCTGCCAAGGCTCTTTTTGTGTTTGAATAACACAAAAATACTGTTAACAACATGATGAACAGTCTGCACTTGAGGCTATGGAATATTTAGTTATCTTCTTCTTCTCGTTGATGCCTAACATCAAGGTAATACGATACGCCAAAAAGCAGTTACTCTAGCAACTGGATATGATTTTCAAATCATATCCAGTTGCTTGAGTAACTGCTTTTTGGCGTAATTTATTATTGACTCCGGCATATTCTATCCACGTTCGCGCTCCGCTCTGCACATAGACATTAGAACTTAAATATACTGTGGCTTAGCAGTACTGTAATTTAATAGCCATAGTCCATTATCGTAGTTCTTAACCATAGCCTGGGTCGGGGTTCCGTGCAGGGCCTTTGTGTGGGTGTGTTAGGACAGACACCACATTTGCATTGCGCAGTAGAGGCCTCAAAATGGCGATTGTAGTGACTAGTTAATACCTTTGAAAATCCTCTTTTCTCTTGAAAGTTTTGGTCCATTTTGGAGATTCTTGGGCTGGAAGGCACAGGTAGGGTCTAAACTTTCCTACTTTGGTCAAGTTTTGTTTATTTCACCAGTTTAGTGGGTGTAATGAGAGATGTGAGTGGTTAGGTCTTGTCTGGCCAGGCGGATGGATACCATGGAAAATGTAGGTCAAAGTTGAGGTTTTGAAACTATCATCAGCTGTGGCGGGAATTTGAGATGGTCGACCCCCTGTTTCCTTTCTATATTTGGGAATCAGACCCTTGTGGCTACCTGGTGCAGAAAATATTTTGAGATTGAACTATGGGCAAGTATTTTCATGAGGACTTCTAATAGTGTATTTAAGCATGTGTTCCTATGGGCCAATCTAATAGTACTGTCTGCCCTGTTACTCAGTGACTGGCGGAGGTACGTGACACAAATGCGTCAACTGACGTTGCCTCCACCGCTACGCTCTCAAGACCGTTCCAATCTCTTACTGTTCTTGGCAAAAAGGACCCCCCTCTGTACTGTGTCCGGGTGTTGACAAGGCGAAACTGTTTGTTGTGGGGTCGACGCTATCGTGGTGGTAGTGTAACTTAATAATAGGGCACTGTATGAAGCCATGTTGGATTTTATAAAGGACTGTTAGGAGTGCGAGTCTTCTGCGCTCCTCTAGTGATAGCCAGCTAAGTGTTGCCAACATACTGCTCACACTGGAAGTGTTGTAGTAACGGCCAAATACAAATTTTGCTGCCCTCCTCTAGACCGCTTCCACTTTACACACACACGTTTTGGTGTACGGATCCCAGACTGTACAGGCGTATTCGAGAATGTTTCTTACGAATGCCTTGTACGCTTTCTCCTTGATTCTTTTGGGGCATATCCTGAGATTGCGTCTAATATGAAATATGAGGAAGCCCAGAGCTCGGTTTGCCTTATTTATGTGTGTGTCCCAGGCCATTTCCCTACTCATTGTTATCTGTTGTTTTACATAACAAAGGAAATCACAACAAAAATGTAGTTAAACGGTAAAAATACAAGTGAAAATATACCTGTGCACGTATGCCGGTATTGAGCGTGTCCTTATCCACAACAACTGCTACTATGGCGGCTTGTAGGGTCAGTGCTAGAAGGTTGTTACAACCGAAAACCAAAGCGTAGCGGCCAACACTTAGTAGACGTGCGACTTGGAAACTGCCAGGATGAAACATACAGGATAATACATTAGAACAATGATTACGAATATCAAACCTTTTGATGTCTTCTGATGTTTAAATGAAAATGTACTCTTCGACTTGCATAATTACAAACTGAGTTTGAAGAGTTAACCATCATTTTGTACTTTTTACAAACGTTTTCGTACCAATAGTTCATTTTTTAGATACACACAATTTATGTAAAATGTATAGAAAACAGAATTTTTCACTAATAACGCATGCATGAAACCTAGAATTTAGCGAATGGGAAATATTAGCACATTTTAGTGAAATCTACATTCTATTTTTCTATGAGAGAAAAGCCAAAAGCATGGTACCTTGCTACTGTTATTAGCATATAGTAGGATATTTTGAAAAGAACTCCGCAGCCATAGCAGACCCAGATGTTCTTTGTCGTTGCCATGGTAATCAATAAGATGGCTTCTGCCACTGACATAACTCCTAGCGTCAGTTCACCAAACACGGACCAGTTCAACTTCATGTAACCGACGGAAAACGACACCAATGCTCCTACATGTGAAAAAAATCAACATATATTGTGTATATTTTTATTTACAAAAGGACAGACCCATTTGACGCTATATGGCACAAACATGCTATTCTTTCATATCCTGTCTATACAACTTCCCAAATAACATTATAAAATCTGTTCTCAAATCCGATGTAATATTCCGCAAAAGATTCTTCCGCAATATCTGGGTCTATTTGTACTCATAGAAATATTTTTAAATATTGTTATTGTGTGTATTTATACCTCTATGTTTCTTTTATATGGCGAGTGATGCCTGAGATAAATGATAAAGAAAGAAAATATATTTATAGATCTAGATGTACATATGGTAACTTGCTAACCATTTGATAACATTGAAGGATAGTTTACAATTCAATCAATCACTGAATAAATCAACATAAGGTATAACTAACTTGTATTTAGCGCTTGACAAAGAGTTTGACTCTATGTGTTTACAGACTGGGGTCTGATTCACAAGGCATTAAGGCATGAAACAGTTAAGCTGATCTCTTACCTAATAAAGTTGTAATGGCCTCAGCGATGCCGTTATTGAGCCCACCGTTCGCAGACGCCGGTTCGATGACATACCAGAGGTTTTGGACGTTCGTTACTTCAAGGTTATTGCCACATGTCGCAAGAGCCCACCAAAGTGACCAAACAATAATTTTCCGATTATTGTAACATGTTTTCAAGTCTTGGAAAAAGTTGTTAAATCGTGAGATTGAATGTGTGGATAAGACGTTACTTTCGTCTTCGTTTTTAACACATGCGCTTTGAGCGTCCTCCAGAGTATCCGGGATGCTCGGCGCCATTTTGTTATCACCGCTTTCAATATCGTGCCCCTTCTCTGTTTCAAAATTTGTAGATGCATCGCAAACTAGGTTTCTCTGGGAGTCTTTGTTTCCATCAAGCAGTCCTAGATACGAATCTTGTGAATCTTGAGTTTCTGAGTTAACGTTATATTCATTATGCCCTCTGCAAAGATCAGTTTGTGACATAGTTGTTTTTTGGGACATTAGTGACTTTTTAGACGGAGGCAAAAATACGCTGAGAAGAAAAGATACAGACACGCTACCAAGAGTGATGTAGTGCAATAAAAGGTAGTCAGTTTTATCGAAAGAAATCACGATCTGCGAAATAGTCGAGGCCAGAAACTGCCCCAACAGCGTAGTGCACCTGAAAAAAAAATCGCACATACTGATTACTAGCAATACAATTGTCGAGTATCATGAAACATATTAAAGATGTTATTGTTGTTTTTTATTTATCTGTGTATACTTTGATATATGACAATTAGACATACCAACTGTGAATGTAAACACTGTTAATACAAGTAAAACGCTGTCACTCTGTATATCTGTATAGCTGATATAACCGCCATTCGGCGTGACAAGTCATCTTCAAGCAATAGGATCTGCACTAATTACATACTAATTACCTATTATGGAGCTACCTCCATGGAGCTATTATTAGTACAGACCCCTCTCGCTTCAAGGTACATCAAGGTCCGAATTTTTTCATTACTATGTTTGATGTTTAATGAAATCAACCGACCTGACGTATCCAGTTGCTTTCTGGTAATAATCATCCTCCACGATGACGTATATGTATGAGAAATACACAGTTTCTGTAGCTGTGGCCAGGCCATACACAACTTGTGCGATCTGCATAACCTCTAACCTTTCACCCCACAGCCACAACACGGATGTCGCCACGTAGCTCGCCCCTCCCACCACGAGTACCGGCTTGTATCGTACAAAGTCCGCGATCAGCAACACCAGAAACAGGGATGCCATCCAGGAGTAGCTCAGGATTGGATAGATTTCGTTGTTCACTTTTTCAGCGGTGTAATTCTTAAGGTCACTTCTTAAGAAAGGTGTCAAGAAGGGTACAGCGGGTCGCATGTCTTTGAAGAAACCGTACAGACACAAAAGGGCAACGGTGGTTGTGATAGTCTTCTCAGTCATTGCGAGACAGACGTATATATACCTGTTACTCTGCAAGCGTCTAGAGGTTACAAAGTACGGGGTACGTTTGCCCGATCGATACGCGCGGACATAGGTCACTCGACTTCTAAGCGGCCCTTCTAAGCCTGACCTTTGGAACATCCCATTCTGAGCAAAGGGGATCGCATGGTTGCCATTTGTTTTAATTCTCTTTACTTTGAATTTTAACAGTTTTACACGACCTCATACCTTTGCCAAATTGAATGACGTTAACCGTTAAAACTGGTTTGTCACTGGTTTGTCATCTATATTCAAATATAAAGTTCAATGTTTTATTACTAGTAAGTTAATGATGTTCCTAGTAAATAACACAAATATCATCTTTGAAGAGGCTAAACCCATGGGCAAACCCATGTCACTTCTTCACGTGTCAAAGAGCTGTATAAAGAAAAAAAAGAGCTCTGCTCTGCTGCAGGCCGTAGCTATGGAAAGCTTGACTAGAGAGCCTCAATTGCATTGAATGAATGATCAAGAGAGAGAAGAAGAAGAAAGGGATATTGAGAGAGGAAGTAGTCAAGGAAGGAATACATTTGGTTACCTGAATGTGAATTTTTAAAGTATGTTAATCGACGTAACGTTTGAAGATTTATCTCTGCTCTAACTCAATACACGGCATCGCTACCTTCTAAGATTAAAGCCGCTGTTTGGAACTGAGGTAACGACTAGGTTCAAGGACGTGAAATGGGCCCATACTTTTTTATTGAAACATATAGTGACAAGACGCGGTGGCGACACACTTAAATTACACTTATATTCATGTCGCCACGTGCGCCAGACAATACATAATACATACAACAAGCAAAGCACAGATAACATATTGCAATTGAATACAATGATAAATCAATGGACAGGTGAAACTGATATACATGTATATAAATGCTGACGGGATTGATCAATAAACGATGTTACAAAAAAAACGGTTTGATTCCAACAAAAATACCTGGACATGTTGTAATATTTGAATATTGTACGTTGTTGAGAGAAAATTAGAACCTCTTAAAAGTAAATGTACCAAAATATCATCAGAAAGCTCATCCAAGTCAGTAATAAAACCAATCAGTGTTTTCAAGTTGCCCATACTTTGTCACTGCAGTCCGTTACCGTCATATGGTCGGCAGGTTATGAATATAAACATTTCATTAAACAGCCCAACAGAAATGTACAATAGGCATCTCAGAAAGGTCATTACTATGAGTAATCAACTACAATCTGTGCCTGGATTAGACACAAAGTTTAATCTACGACCTAGCCTAGCTTCTGTGTGGCTGATTGAAAACACGCCGGGGTGACAATAACAAAATGTAATTTTTCTTACACAACAAAGTTTGCCAATTGGGAAGAAAGTAATCATACCGATTACTGAGGCTTTGGTTTGCAAGATTTACTCCTTACCTACAAATCCTTTCCCACGGGAACGATTTGTGAGAGCATAAAAAACCAGAGAACCGTCAAGGTGGAACTCAGTCAATATAAACGTGAAGGGCGGACCACTTGTACATCTAACGCTGGTTTGGTACGCAGCCTTGAGGTAAGCTAAAGCCATTCTCACCATTTTAACAAGAAGTACCGTTGAATAGCAAAGTTCTTTTTATCACAACCATTTATTTTTCAAGCCGATGTTTCGATGACCTTCTGTCATCTTCATCAGGGCAATTCTGACTGGTTTACTGTGCACTGACACTAGATGTTACTTGGTGCATAGTGCACTAAAGGTGTTACATTGTTCATAGTGCACTTAAGCTAGTTTTTAGTGCACTTAAGCTAGATGCACCAAGTAACATCTAGTGTCAGTGCACAGATAACCAGTCAGAATTGCCCTGATGAAGATGACAGAAGGTCATCGAAACATCGGCTCACAAATAAATGGTTGTGATAAAAAGAACTTTGCTATTCAGTCGTTTACCAACCTGATGAAATTATTTACAGAAGAAGTACATTTCCTCTGCTGTCTTCAAATAATTATTCTTATAAAATGACTTCCCTTTTTTTCTATCATTCAAAACGCAGGACTGATCTTCTTCAGCCATGCGGTTCTTTTGTCTACTTCTGTTTGTAACCATCTTTGTGGTGAGCTTCTCGGACGCCCTTTGGTCCAATGACAAAGGAAAGGCCTGCAAACAAACCGGGTATGTCTATATTATTAACCACTGGTCGTGTGGAGTTATACGTTGTTAGTAAAGGTTAGACCCCCTGCCCTACCACCACCCAAGGGACCGTAGCAGTTCAATCGTATCTTACCATAGGAACTACCTTATCCTCATTTACGTAGCAGTTACACTTCGGAGTCTTCGTTCTGCTTTTTCCAGGTCTTTCTCATGTTGTAAGCGTTAACTAGTTACCTTAGTTCATTTTAAACTTCGGTCACAACCCGCCGTACGTGCTTCTGCGTGCTGTCTACGTGCAAAAACGTGGGCAAACGTAGGGCATTCGTGCGTGGTGAGTACCGCCTCCGTACGGAATCCTACGGATTTGGGAGCACGCAGACACGCCGTAGAACTTTAAGTGCATGTTAAACTTTTTCTACGTGCGGTCTGCGGATTCACCACCTGTGCGTGTGAGTACGGGCGACGCGCGTGCCCCGTACGTACCGTACGTGGCGTGCAGACCACACTCTTACACCTTGCGAAACCGTACACTGACGTGCGAGTGACGTGCGTCGATGCCACTCCTTCCCCACGAAAAAACGTAGCAGGCGTAGCCTCCCAAACAACGTACGGACAAAAAGCACGTACGGCGGGTTGTGACCGAGGCTTTAGGGACGTTGAAGAAACTCGAAACGTCCGGAAAGAATCTCCGTAATTTTTACAGTAATTTAGAGTTTGAACTGTGTGTACTAGGTACAGTTGAAATGTTGGCAAGGGTTGGGGAGTGCGTAACTACAGATCATATTTTTCCCTTTCTATGACATGTTCATTGGCATGTTACTGTTAGTTTTGTCATATTAAATACTGCTTAACTATATTTAAATATTTAAGCCTTATCGATATTTAAGCATGCTTAGACCACGCCGACTTAATCTTATGGATGACATACGCGCGCGCATTGATTTTTGCCTGTTGTCAAAAAAAAAAAAAAAGATCACGTCCGCCGAGGCACTAGATCTGATCTGGCTCTAGGCCTGGGTAGTCCATGGTAGTTAGCGACAATATGGAGCCGGGCATCCAGGCTACCGAAGCTCCACGACTCCAGAACTCATGAAGTTCATACGTTCAGTGCCGATTCATAAATTCTGCCAAAAGCCAGCATTGCCGGCTTGTCGTATACGTCGCTAAGTACTGCTGCAAATTCACAATACATGTACCAGCTTTGTATTCCTGTGGTTTAGTAGCATTTTTATTTTTGGACGTTTTTTTTTTATTCCCCCGCGCGCACTAGTTTGGGGGTCTTCAGAGGATGTCATCCATAAAGTTAAGGTGGTGTGGCCTTAAATATTGGTTTCGTGCAGTGTAAAGAGACGACAAAAACAACGCTGCTGATAAAGATGTGCATGATAACTATTGTAGTAATACCTTAGTAATGTGCACTCATGTTCTTGTAAAGCCCGCATGTATGAATATCTTAGAGAAGTTGTCACACAATACGTAACATTATGTATTACAATTAACTGTATGTATATGAATCATGCTGAAAACATTTTTTTCATTGCATGGTTCGTTTTGGACACATGTTTAACAATTATCACTTGAACAGCTGTCTCCGAAAGAAATGTCCTGAAAACTCAGATGACGACGTTGAGGACATTCAACAACCAAACACGTAAATATGTTTTTCAAAATAATGTTCTTATACACTGCGTAGTCGTTGCCTACTCAGTAAAAATATTAGTACGGAAAAATAAGTACAGGACTAAAATTTAAGAAAAGCAACGACGGCCATATTGTAAATAACATCATATTGAAGCCTTTAAAAATATCTAAAGTTGTTGGGTTCAGTTGATGATACGTGTTGATGATTTATCATAAGTATTATGTCATGAAGTATTAGAAGTCTTTTCAGTTTTTTAAGATGCTTTTATTAACATAATTATTATGTCATGAAGTATTAAAAGTATGTTCAGTTTTTAAAATAATTTGCAATCTGATTGCAAAGGTCAAGACAAGCATCAATATACGGTTGATTGTATGGTCTGGTCCCAGATTCCCTCTATGTTTTTGTTGTTTTTCTTCTACCTTCATCATAGTGGCCAAGACGACATGCCGGGGCAGCAAATACAGACAAAAATGAAGACATGGTGGAATGGCTTAAGGGACAAGAAAAAGGATAAGGATGGAAAGAAATGCAAAACCAGGCATGTCGAATATACTTATTATATATAACAAAAACGCCTTTTAAACACATACATGCAATAGAGAGTATAGCCCAGTCATACACAGACAGGCTCCCTATATTTTTCTTTTATAATATAAGTAATTATAAGAGTGAATACATGATGGCTATTATAATACGAAGTAATTTACACAAAAAGTTATTGTAAAGCCCGTAAGTTTGAATGTTTTAGACTCATTATGACACACAAGATATAGCATTATGTAATTAAGACATTATGTGTATCATAATGAACATCCATGTTACATGATACATTTTGACATGTATTACACAATTATCACTTGAACAGCTGGATCCGGAAATGTCCTGAAAACAAAAATGACGACACTGAGGAAGATCAACCTGCAATGACGTAAATATATCTTTAAAATAATGTTCCTGCAATCCTGCCTACCTACCTATGTGCCTACCTGCCTATGTGCCTACCTGCCTATGTGCCTGCCTATATTCCTGCAATCTGTAAAAAACAATATCTGTACTTTTACCACCGGGGCCCGGCCGGGCAGTCTTATGGAACGACAAGTATGTTAAAAAAAGCCAAAAAAAAAAAAAATTTGAAAAATTACGATGGTAACTATTTGCGTTCATTGTTGATATAAATTGTTGATCCA